CCTTCATTTCTTCATGAAAGGACCTGATGATGTTAAGGAGTCTCGAATCTTGGGAAGTATTTTAACATCCCTGCTAACCAAATCAAAGGCCTTTGTGAGATTTATGAAGGCCACAAAGAGTGGCTGGCCTTGTTCCCTACATTTCTCCTGCAACTGTCTTAGGGGAAAATACTGTGTCAGTGGTGGATCTATTAGCTCGAAATCCACACTGTGATTCTAGATAGACTGCAAGCACTCGGAGTCTCTTCAGCACAACATGGGCAAGCAGCTTCCCTACAATGCTGAGAAGAGAGATACCACGGTAGTTATTGCAGGCACCCCTGTCTCCTTTGTTCTTATACAATGTGACGATGTTTGCATCCTTCAGCCTGCTTATAAGCTATACATAATTAAAAATAAATCACTTGGAGATTGGTAGAGGCTCTTGGGAGATTTGGCTGTGTCAAGAGCAATAGCCCAGGGTGTAGATGAAGTAACCAGGAAATATCTAATAGAGGAATAGTGTGCCACCACACTTATCCAACACAGCCTGGTCCAGGAGACTTCCCGAGCTTACAAGATGCTTCTAAGTTGACATCTGCAGATTTGTGTTTTTAGACTGTAAAGCTCCCTGAATTCTTCAAGCAGCTTAGGCTCTAAAGACCTCTACTCTGAAGAATCTAAGAGAGTCAGGGCCAAATCCTGAACCCTCTGCCTCCAAAGTCTTAGGATGAAATAGAGATGTGAATCTTGCTGCCTCTCACTCTTGGAAAGAAACCAAGAAAAGAATCCTTCTTTTCTTATCATAAAAGGATTTTTCTGTGCAAGATATTTTTCTTCCCCCAAGGAAATTTCACAGGCTTTCTTTAATATTTCATGATTATTTTTCTGAAAGAAATGCCAAGCTGTGCAGATTATTACAACTCCTGTGCAGAATGGTCTCTTTCCTGCTCAGGGTTCACCTAGAAAGGACAGAAGAAACAGCAAGCTGCACATTACTGTAACAACTCCTACATTGAATAGCACCTTCCCTGTATAGGACTCATTGGAGAGGCATTAAGGTGCACAAAATCTGGCTGTTTCATGTGCAGAACAAGAGGTGAAAAAAATGGGGGTAGGGGGTGGAGAGGAAAGATTTCATTTTATGAAGGATTTCATTTTCATGGGAGAGAATCCAGCAAATCTCACCGTAGGAAAGTCTCAGCTGGAAGTCTCAGCACAGGAAAAATGTAGAAACTTGAAATTATGCATATATTTGTTGTATGCCTTAGCAAAAACTATTTCCAATATCCAGTACAAATGAACTAAGCCATTAGCTGTAGGACTTAGTGCTAAAGATTTTCCTAAGTTAAGCATACATATTTAATGATTTTATTTAATAATGTGTTTCTGTCTCATTCTGTGATTCCCAGTGTGGCGTGGTAGATAGAGTGATGGACTAAGAACACATAGATTTCATTCTATCACAGCATACCTTAAGGCAGAGTACAGTCATCAAAGAAGCTTTGTGATTGGTGAGGAGTATGGCACAGCCACTGGGGGGTGAGCAGAGTTGGGGTGACAGGCAGAACCTGGTGCAAAAAAATGGATATGCAAATGAAAAGGCAGAGAATAGCGCATGCTGGAGAGAAGGCTTCTTCTTGGTGTGATGGACATCTGTTTCTGGGGATCTTGCGTAGTCTTCTTTTATCTTATCTGTTTTTATGAGCATGCTCTGAGCAAGATGATTTTGCAGTTTGAGGGTTTATAGTCTATATGCAGGCTTTCTCTGTCATTTGTGGAAAATGGGACTACTGTATATTATAAATAGGAATGCAAATTTTTCCTTATCTCATCCTTGCGCATTAGGACTGGGAACTGCAGCATTCTTCTCCTTACCCACCAAGATGACAAAGGTGCTGTTGATTTGTACTGGAAAAAAATAAACCTTTACACAAAATTGCCAGTTTTTATGTGCAGTTGTCAAAATTTGCCCCCAAATCACCAAGCGTTGCACAAAATCACACCATTAATGTAATTGCGAAATCACAAAGATCTTATATAAAAAATAAGTGCACAGATCAGTCAAAAAGTTTAAAAATTTGAAGTGCTGTGTAGACTATATGCAACTTTCTTTAAAGTCAGCTAGTATTTCTGTGCTTGCTCTGTGTGTGGTTCCCTTTGAAAAGGGAGAGGATACGAGCATCATCTTTTGTAAATTAACAAAGCCCTTGGATGGCGAAAAGAGATCCTGGTCTTACTGCCACAGGAGTGCTGATAAATCTCTTGGCATATTAAAAATCCTTGTTGACGTGTCTTGTAGAAGCTCCCCCAAATCAATGAGACCAAGGAATTCAGCAAATATACCTTCCACCCTGCAGTGATTCCCATGTGGCAAAGGAAGATAGTCAACAGTGAACCCCTTATTTTTACAGACAACCAGCCCTCTTGGCATGCACATATGTGCTTTAGAACAGCAGAGTGTAAAGCAGTGGTTCTTAACGTGGGCGATAATGCCCCCCAGGGGGCGATTTCATTTTTCAGGGGGGGCGGTAGAATGAAAAGGGGCGGCGTGGGAGTGCTGGAGCAGAAGGGGGGCAGTAGGGGGGTGCTGGAGCAAGCCAAACCTGTGAAGATGGCTGCAGCCTTTTTACA